CCCCAAAACCCCAAAACCCCAAAACCCCATCTTTTTAAAACTGCTCATAATTTGAGAATCAAAAACTTATTCTAGACTAAGTAATTTTAATTGAAAAATTTATAAAAGCATTGATAATGGAGCAAATAAATACAAATATTCAAGAGTAAATAGACACATAAATAAATAGTAAAGAATCTCTTGAAGGCACACATTTATATCTTCCTCATTACTTTGAGTATACATTTGAATAAATCAAGCTCTAATTAGTCAAGTACTTATCTATTGATTCTCCAAAGATGCTTGATTTCACTAACTTAATTAAGGAAATATGTAGAATTAATGATTATTAGGGATATGATAGAGTTTCCTTCTAACCTCTTTAATCATTTTTCTAAAAGCTAAAGTAAAATCAAGTAAAATACATATGCGATGATATAGTGAAATTCGCTATTAAATAGGCTTTGAGATTAGAGGAAGTATTCCCTAAGTAAAGGCTTAAAGTTCTAAGAAGTAATAGTAGTTTATAAGATTAATCTGCTAGATTTTCTGAGGAAGAAGCTCTAGTTTTGATCAGTAATTAATTTCTGTGCACATTTCCACCTCTCAATTATCAAAGTGAACTTAGGGATGTAAGGTTGCCTAAAAGATAAAATTTCTTAGAAATGTATCTAAGAGATATGAACCCAGTAAAGCTTGGTTAGCAGATCAGAAAGATACCATTTATTTTCAACTATTTCGAAAAAGAGATGCTTTTGAAGAAAGATTATGGTTCTAAATTAAGAACTTAATCTAGTCCACAATAATATATAGTAATAGAAAGACATATAATTAAAATGGATAACTATACTGAATTAGACATAGATTTTTGGGGTAATACCGAGGAAAGAATGAGTAAGAGGATAACTATTGACTATAATTTAAGAATTGAGGATTAAGATGATTGCTTGATTGTTGATTTCGCTAATGCTTTTATTGGAGGAGGCACTTTGGGAAAGGGAGCTGCTTAGGAGGAGATATTGTTCCTCATATTTCCTTAAGCTATTATAAGCATGCTCATATGCGAAAAAATGGATTACAATGAATCTATCTACATTCATAATATTCGAAGATATGCTGACTACTTGGGCTATACAACTTCTTTAGAATTCTAGGAAATGCCAAACGAATCTTTTTACAAAAATATAAGGAAAGATTTTATTGCAATGGATGCAATCCAATATTTTGATGGCAAAACTGACTCTTAATTCAAATTATAAAACATTCTTACTGAACTAAATAAATGCTTTATTGCCTTTAGTCCCATTGAATTATGCAAATATGATACTATTTCATCAGGGAAATGGGGTTGTGGGGCATTTAAAGGTGATCCTTAGTTAAAATTTTTGATCTAATGGATAGCAGTTTCTATTGTTAACAGACCCTTAATTTTTGCCACTCTTAAAGATCTAAATAGACTTGAGAAGCTTCCACAGATAATAAAAACTTTGGGGAATAAAGAAGTTAAAGATGTATTTGGTTATTTAGTAAAATACTCTAATGGATTTTAGGAGTTTAACTTATTCGATTCCATTTTGAAAATGGTTGAAGAGGATGAATTTAACGAAATTAAATCTAAGTAAAGAGAGAAGAATCGCTTATTTAAAATGGAATGACTCTCTAATTACTACTTTAGTAAACCTTTAATTATCACAAGAATGAATGAAATAAATTTAATCCTTTAAATTAATGGTAATTGGATATGAGTTAGGCTATTGATAATCAATTATTTTATACTCTATTTTAATTTATTTTATTAATGAATCTATAAGTTTCCTGATAAATTTTTAACCCATGGGGTTTTGGGATACTGCTGGGTAAGAAAGATATC